TCTGCGATCACAGAGTCGTTTACGTTGAAGGAACCATACTTCATGAAGCCAGTGTGAAGTACGTATCCTCCATATACTTGAACGTCCTCAACAGTAAGTTCTGCCTTGCCGTCGATGATGATCTTTCCAGTATCATATTCCTGGCCACCCTGTTCTGCGTAGAAGTTGGTGCGGTCAAGGATAATACCGAATTGTTCGCCCTCTGGGATATCCTTTGAGGAATTAACAAACTTCTTGTTATGGTAGATGGCTTTGATCTGGGAGGTGATGTTGCCTCTGCCAAACTTCGCACTGTCGTCCGTCTTGGGAACGTCATCCATGGTCTCAAGGAGGCCGAGGTCATGGACAGTAAGTTTGACAACATCCTTTGTTAGTTTTCCCTGACCCTTGCTTGCCTCCTTAGCCCTTAGCCGGGCTTCTTCGAATTCACCGTTATCAATCTTCAAACCTCGCTCTTCAGCCATGAGCTGGGTCAGATCCACAGGGAAACCAAACGTATCGTAGAGTCTCCACACATCTGCCCCATGTAATCTGTCCAGGCCTTTTTGTTTAGCCTGGAGGGCATATTCTTCAAAGAGGCGCTCTCCACGGTCGAGTGTCTTCGCGAAAGAAATTTCCTCCTCATCCAGAATTTCCATCACGTCCGTTGCCTTCCGTTTGATTTCAGGGAACATATCACCCATCTGCTCAACCAGTGTAGGTACGATTTGCGAGAAGAACCCGCCGATTTCAACGTTCAGATACTTGCGCGCATACCGAGCACCTCTACGGAGAACTCGTCGTACCACATAGCCTCGACCCTCGTTGTTTGGCACAGCCCCATCGGATATCGCAAAGGTTAATGTCCTAATATGGTCAGCAACAACGCGGTAAGCAGTATCGACTCCGTCAACGTCCTCTTCGTGGAATTTTCCAGTATATGGACGGGAGCCTGTAATCTCGCGGATCTTCTCGAACAGGGGGGTGAAGACATCCGTGTCGTAGTTTGACGATTTGTTCTGGAGAATCGAAACAAGTCGTTCGTAGCCCATTCCAGTATCGATGTGCTTGTTGGGTAAAGATCGTAGCGACTTGTCCTGTTCGCGATTGTATTGGATGAAAACGTTATTCCAGATTTCCAGCACATTGGGGTCATCTTGGTTCACGAGGTGGGAGGCATTGCGGCCTCCAATCCTATCGTAATGGATTTCACTGCAGGGTCCGCATGGCCCTTGTTCTCCCATCTCCCAGAAATTATCTTTCATGTTTCCTGAAAGGAGGTGATCCTCTGCAACGCCGACGGACAACCATAGATCCCTGGCTTCCAAATCTGGTTCAATGCCTGCATCTGGATTCCCCTCGAAGTAAGTCACGTATAGCCGGTCAGGGTCGAGGCCGTAGACTTTGGTGAGAAGGTCCCATGAGTAACGAATAGCTTCTTTCTTAAAGTAGTCCCCGAAACTCCAGTTTCCCAGCATTTCAAAGAAAGTCTATCGATTGAGTAAAGAACATATCAGTACCGTCGCACGAAATAGAATCTTGTCTGTTATTAGAGCCCAAACTCACATGGTGATAGCTATCTTTCCCAACATCGTCGAGGTCCTAGAGGAATCACGTCAGTGCTAATCACTTGTGACGTTGCATGTTACAGCGCAAGAACATACATTATGTTTTCCACCGGCACGTATACACTATTCTATATGTTAGCCATCTGCATATTTATCAAGACAGAAGTGTACAAAGGAACGCCATCCACCTTCTGCGTGTTATGCGCACGTTTCAGCTGCGCAAAGTCTGAATTCGGTTCAACGGTGCCTAGGAAGATGGCCTTGTACTGGTTCATTCCCGCATTTGCGAATAGTAAAGTAGGGTCTGAGAGGGGCACGACAGAAGAAGAGGGCACTAGATGCGACCAACTAGTTAGTAAAGACTTGTTTAATTATACGTAGTCATAAAAAAAATAGTTAGATTTGAGGTATGACTCTTCTTACCAAAGGTATGGCCGTTATCTTTGAAAAAATCCAAAAACGCATTTCGCACTCGCAAAGCAGGCCATTCTGGCTGCTCTACCCTTTGCGTCGAAGTCATATTGGGAGCCGCCTGAGATCGTGGGAGAGTGCTGTTGTGGCGGCGGAAGAAGAGGGGCGTAGTTGAAAGGGTGTTGGTGATGGCGGGGGAGAAAAGGTGCCAGGCGAAGAAACGTCTCGAAGGCGGCAAAGGCACAGGAACAGAACCACCAACATTAACACCCACCACCTCCACCAAATTGCAGTAGACAGAGCGAGAACAGTAGCGAGTCAAACTCAATCCCTGGTGCAGCACCACACCACTCACTCTCTCACCCCCTACTCCCATCCAAACGGATCAAAACGCAAGGAACAAGGCAGTTAACGAGTGGCGAAAACGGGACAGCTATGCCGGTTCCTCACAGCGTTGTCTAGTTCTCAGACACGCGACTCCTCCCTCACGAGTTACGGGATCTGCGAAAAGAAAGATTCTGCTGTTTAGAATACGGGCGTTGGATGGCACCGGTGAGTGGGGTGTCTTTGGCCTCGGAGGTCCGTGGCAAAAAAAGACACGCTGCCGAAGAGCTTGAGGGCGAGCAACGCCTTGCGAAAAAGTTTGGATTGCTGCATATTGGTCGTATTGGTATGTTTACTCGCCAACTATCGATGTTTGTACCAGCTCTGATTATTTATTTTATCGGCTTGACTTTAGAATAAAATCAATTCACTAACAAAGTCGTTGTTTTTTATTTTTCTGTCTTCTCCTGCAGGCCAGTCTTATCTGCCATCGATACTGGATGATGCTTGCACTATCAAGGAGACGCCAACCTCAGGCTTTGGGGCCGAACAACCCAAGCTCCCTGCCGCTGTTGCTGCTGCTGCTACGAACGAATCAATGCAGATAGACGAGACAAAAGATAGAATCTACATCCACGATCTAGAGAGCGAATTTGCAAAGATCGAAGCTGAGGAAAATAATGTCGCAATCCTTCCAGAGATCGAGAAGAAATTGATGTCCGTGCCCAAGTCGTTATTAAGCACCAAGCCACCCGCCAGAAATGAACTGGTCTTGTACCGGCTGCCGTCCTCGCTGAGTGTCCCAGAGCCCCAGGATAGTGTGCGCAAAGCGATCATTGAGGCTAGGGAGCGTGCGCGAGAGAAGGCGATCGCTGATCAGAGGGAGAAAGAGAAAGTGGAGGGGGAGGGGGAGGAGAAAATCATTACGCAACATTTTCTGAGTCATGAAATGAACGGTTCGTTGATGGATTTGCTGCCACCATCATCGTCTGCATTGCTTCCTTCGCCTGAGTCGCTTGATCTGAATTCACAGGATGATCCTGATGCGATGGATATCGATAGTGCTTGACGGCTGTTTTTACACTTGTTCTTCAGGTTTTCGAAAATAACGGAGTGGATGCTTCTCCGAGCGTTCTTTACTCAAGCTGATATGACTGCTATCCATTTCTTATTATTTTTACAAGTCAGCACGAACAGCTCCAGGAGGTCGGCTCGGAATTAACGACTGGACTGAAGCTGCGGTGTGAATACTGCAGATGGCTAGGAATATTGGGCAGCTCGAGGCTATCGCAGGAAAAAAGTTCATGAAGCCTTGCTGATTCTTGGCTGCTCTGCTTGGTCCCAAAGAAGGAGTTTTCGAAATTTCGAAGGGGTGAGTGATGGAGTGGAGCCTCGGTGAAGTAGACTGGTCTAAACCCTACGTCTGGCTTCCTTTAGGGGAAATTTGGTCTTGGGGTGCTATTCTTCTTGTTCTTTTGGATTTGGGGTGTTTATTGTTATTTATGCTCACATATATATATGGGGACCTATTGTGACCGTGGCTAGGTGGGAGTCAACTATCATTATTATAGTAATCCGGGCTCTATATGGACTCAAATGAAGTCGACTGTTAGTACGATATGATAGCATTTTCAAATACAGAAAACAAACTAGGAGAAATATGGAAATAAAGACCGATTAATTCAATTAACCCACTAGATGCACAGGCGTGGAAATGCGGACGCCTATACTCTCTAAGGAGAGGGGTATATCAAAGAAGTGAAAATAAGGAGCCTATTTATATTCGCATAGAGAGCAGAAATCACTCAACAACTCTCACAATTTCTCTCTCTAAGATGACCCAAATACCCTTCTCGCAAGGTTTCTCATAAGAACTGTTCCACCGCCGCCCTCCATATCCCCAATGGTCAGTATTTACTTTGCGTTATCTCCATACTCATTCCCGTTTCCATCCAAAATAGAGTTCTGCGAGCACAAACTCGCATGTGTGAATCCCACGCATCGATGAGAGGACCACGTTCATCCCTAATATAATATCATGGCTCAGCCTAGCCCAGCCCTATTTCTTGCAGTCAGCCAAGCATCATCGGCATATGGCCATTTGAAAAAGATATATTCTCGGGATGATTTTCTCGTCTCAATTGCGCTTCAAGCCCATCAGCATCTTGTCAAATCAAAGAGACACTAAGTACAGCCTTATCGATCAACAAGATGGTGAATTCTGTAATTCATAGGCTCGGAGATAGCCAGGTCAAAACACCGGTGATATCTTATAGTAGCAAAGAAGAACATTAGGATATAAACCAACATTGATTTTACACATTGGTATGTACATGTACATGTATAGCAAACAGTGCCCGTCCCTCGGTTTCAGGGCCTCGAGCAAGCCAAAATGTCGCAGCTCACCATTGATCATCACCAAGCCATATGTATCCGAATAACCAGTAAGAGTAACGTATCAAACACGAGTTAATGTTTGAAACAAGGTTATTTCCGCGCCGGCGCTAAGCCGTTTACGCATCGGGGAGGGGCAATAATATTCCGGACACATATCTTCGGCTCATGATCAAGACCCACAAGTCTATATAGTTATACGGAGGATAACGATCAGGGATATTATCTGCAGACATTGTACAGTAATTTGAATTCTTAACAGTGAGCCCATTCCATACTTTACTAAACCTCGAGTACCCCTAACCTATCAAATAGAACCAAATCATGGCCCCAGCAGGCTCCCAGAGGCCTTTTTCACCAGGGGAAAAGCGCAAGCGGGATGAGGATAGCGACATAAATGATAGGCCCCAACACGTTGTCAAGGCCCTTTCAAATGACACAGGTGACCGGAATAAAAAGCAAAGGGTTATCGGGCCAACCATGCCACCAAATATAGTAGAAGACAAGAGTACCAGCTGCAGCGACAACGAGAGCGACGACAATTACGGACCCCCCCTTCCTCCAACTCATACGGATACAACTCAACAGACATACAAGGAGGAAATCCAGTTGAATTCAACGTCTGAAGAATCACAACCCACCCGACGAGATGACTGGATGCTTCATCCGCCGGAGCATGGCGACTGGTCTTCACGTGTTGATCCAACGAAGATACGCAATCGGAAATTCAACATGGGTAGAAGTGCAACCGCTAAACCTTCGCTCAGTGGAGTTGCCGGCACTTGGACTGAAACGGCAGACGAGAAGAGGAAGCGGCTAGAGGCTGAGGTCATGGGAATCAAAGCCCCAGCATCTTCCAATGTTACAGGGCGCTCAGGGGAAGCATCTGAATACGACGCTGCGATGTTGAAGCGTGTACAGGAATATAATGTACGTTTATCATCTCGTGCGACATGAAGTGTACGGATATAGCTAACAGCTTCTTATAGGAAAAGAAGAGAGGGAAAACGCTCTATGCGCAGCATCAATCTCGGCCTTCAAAGGAGGAGGAGGATGATCCTAGCGCTCGCCCATTCGATAAAGATAAAGATATCCGGGGTCCAACAAGGATCAACCACGCTCAAAGGCGAGAGTTGCTCAACCGCTCCTCCGACTTTAATACCCGATTTTCTGGGGGGAAATTCCTGTGACATTCTTGATTGGTAACTCTGATTCTCATTCTTTACTCCTGATGGCGCCCATGGCTGGGCCGTATGTAATGTATGAGCGGCCAATTAGCTGAGCCTTAAGATCTGTGGCACAAGCGAGAAGTGAAGTAGCCGCCGTGTTGGATTTGGACCGGAAAAGCCGATTTTTGTTGGACCAGACACGAAGTTATTTGTTCGGCTAGGTTGTACCACGTGGCGAGACAGCACGCCCATGTGGCACGAGGTCATCAATGATATCCACGGATGAGGATATATGCGTGGTGCGCCAGCTGTTGTTCTGGTAAATGCATTACTTCTTCATTGACGTTGCTTTATTCGATGGCAAAACAAAACTTAACCCTTCACTAACAGCATCGTCACGACTGGTGGTGTCGGCGTATACATGACAGGCATGATGGAGAAAACGTTAGGGGTGCACTGGACATCTTCGGCTCCAGGCAAGACGGACCATGTGGTTTCTTGGTCGAATCGAACAGTCTAAAGTATCGATACTACGGCCTCTAAACATCTGTACTTCCTTTTTATACGACATGTGTGTCATCTCCAATCTTGTTACACAATGTTTTACTCCAGCCATCTACCCATCGAGTCGCCCCCTTGAGTGAGATACAGCCCACATATGGGGTGCAATAAGCTATTTTTCGGTTTTCTTGGCAAATGTCTGCGTTTACTTGGACATTTGATACCGACTATGACCACGGTTACTTGGCTATCGATAGAATTTGCGATAGTAGTGGTTTCAGAAGGGCAGAGTGTAGAATCTCATTGGCTCAGTAATTTATGATCTCTCTCTTGTGTCTCCTTCAGTTTTTTGCGGCTATACAAGTTGCCCCTTTTCTCACCCCCATGTTCATGTATGTCCATGCATGTCTTTCTACTGATAATTTACGTACAACATCCAATTTGGTGGTGTGTTTCTGTGCAAACATTTCCGAAATTAGCCCTAACAAAGGGGGAAAAAAAAAGGGGAGTGGGAGTTTTGACGAGATTTTTGGTGGATATTCTTTTGCACGAAGGTGATTCCACTTCTGACAAGTGGTCTCAACGAGTCATCCACAAAAGCCATACGTATCTACTCTACTGTACATACTTTGAAAGGACAGATATTGTTGTCACTGTTCTACTGACTAATTCTTTCTAACAGAGACACTCCATAAAGATCAATATGTGTCCCATACAGGCGAGAAAACCTCTGTTCCCCTGTTGCCAGGCAAATTCTCGAACAATCCGTTTACCAGTCCCGTATACTCCATTTGCCCCATCACCGACAATATGGAAGGAATTTTCATGCCAGTCTCCGCCTGGAGACAAAACTCAGCAAAGACTATTCATACTTAACTCAAATATGTGGAGAAAATTCAACATTATATGGTTACTATCAAGTAGGCTCTGCAACCAGGTAAACCGTTCACAACAAGACGTATGTAATTTAGTTGATAGCCGTCTGACGCATACCAGGAATGACAGCTTCAACAATTCTTCATGGTGTGATATATTTACCGTTGAGCGTTTCTCTGATAAAATATAACTACTAGTCTTTCTACAATACCGTTATTCGTGCCATTTCATAGGGGTGATTACCAGAATGACCAAGTTTCTTCTATCCTCTGTAACCGTTTTATATTGGGGATGTGCCTGTTTGTCACAATGTGGGTGCTTTTCTTATGGCCTTCAAATATTTTTAGACTATATTTATAGACGGTCAGGCAACCACGAATGTAACGCCATCATCTATTATTCTCGGAAAAGACCTATTCCAAAAGGACCGTCGTTTATTAGAATGTAAGGACACGGGGTTGGTGTATGTTCACAGCTGGTCATCCTTCTGAAGGTACTCCTAACTCAGGCACCAGAATTCTTGTTGGATGGGGCAGGCATTCCATTTTGACAATTGGGGAGTGTGCGCTGGCCTTCTG